TTGTTCTACTTGAACTCACAGTGCCACGGGAAGAAAGAATCGAAGAGAGTTATGAAAGGAAACTGGAAAATACCAGTCTCTTGTGGATACCTGTAAGGAAAGAGGTTGGAGGTCTTTGTGCTTTCCAGTGGAAGTTGGATGTAGGGGCTTCCCAGCGCGATCACTATGGCGAGCATTTGGTTGCCTTGGTGTGACAGGATAAGCGCGCAACAAAGCCATATCTAACATAGCACATGAAGCAGAGTCAGCCTCATTGTGGATCTGGCGCAAGAAAGAAGAGCTATGGATGTAGGGTCGAGAGACCAATAGTAAGGCAGTACCCGCTCCAAGACAGATGAAGCAGGGATAGCTGAAGCCAACCATCTCCTGGCTAGAGCTTGATATCACTCTAGTCGGCGCACAAAAGGAGGACATATTGGGAAGCGCCGAAACGCCCAATGAATATGGCACCCACCTGAGGAAGAAGATGGTAGCAGCAGTCGATGCTGTATCTTACATCATTTGTATGTATCTATTTCATTTAATATAGGAAATTCGTTGCCTGACAGGAATGCTTAAAAACTAAAGACCAAAAACGACAATATTGTTTGAACCACCTTATTCGTTTTCACACATTATTTGAAGAAACACGTATTGATAAAAACAAATCTCATAAATATACTTTACTCTTTATTTCATCCAGCTTTACAGTTGAAGTGGCATTATGTCCACCCAAGAGCATATCGTGAGTGAATAGGTGAAAGTCAAAATTTGTTTACATTTTGCCATAAATCCTTTCAATTTTATAATTTACTTCGCATGCACGATAAAAACACTCACGTGGACCAGGATATTTCTCTAAATATTCATCGGAATTAATCTGTAACGTTCATTTATAAAAAGAGTGGAGCAGACTTCTTATATTTATGTCACAATTTTATTTTATTCTAAATATGTTCCAATACTATAATCTATTGGTAAATCACCATTAAAACAGTCAATCCTTTGAAATATTTAGCCAATTCAGCTGAACTTGACAAAGTGACTATAAACATGAGCATAATATCACTTTTATTGATTTTATGCTATTTACTCTGGGACAACCAATATTAAATACTCTTTTTTATGTAATTTAAAGAATTATTTTTGTATTCGGATTGAAGGATTTCTACTGTACTTAAAAATCGGCTAATTGTATTTGTATATTTTTTTGTTCGTTTTATTTCCTTTCACTGTCATTGCCATAGTTTTGATCTGCTTAATATGTATGATAGTTAGTACATGTACATGCTACTTCATAATTTTTAAACATGGTAAAAATTTCAAGGAATATGAATAGTGCTTTATGACCATTCTCTTTGTCCGTAATAGGAAATAAAGAGTTATCGTTCAGCATATTTTATTTGTTGCTTTAAATTTATTTAGAAGAAAGGCAAATGTATGCATTTTGATAAATATATTGATAAATATAGAAGGTCGATTCCTTTCTCTTACAAAATAGGCATGCATTATATAATTAATAAATGAGACGAAATATATATCTACATTGTATTAATTAAAGATCTGTTTGTTTACATTATAATTGATAATGAGAAATGAGGTTACTAAGTATCTAAGTATCTGTATGAATAAACAACGGCGTGCAGTTTTAATTTACAACTGATAATTACTTTACCATGAGCCAATACATATATTTTAGGTCACGGTTTTTATACATTTTGTGTAAGACTATAAAGAAGATTGAATTTGCAGATGCCACTCATTTATTATCTTGTCAGTTCTAGCTTTTATCTGTATCAGAGAGAACAAAATATGAAAAGGATCATACACAAATAACCATTCTCCTTCGAAAAAGGTTAATCTGCCCGGACAAAATATAATTGTAATCTTTTTCGCGGTATTTGCAAATAAAATGAGACGGTGTCATAAATAATCATAAAAGCATTCGTTGAAATTTAAGATATAATGAGTATAATACAGCAGTTTTAAGAAATAAAAGCTGCTAGTGATGCATGTCATATTAAAGAATAATATTTTAGAAATGATTGAAAATTGCAGCATACTTGATGTTATCAATACGCTGTTTAACTATCTGGAAACAAGTGATCACCCGGAAGCATTAAAAACAGCAAAATTACTTGGAGACTGCAGACTCGGTTTGATAGAGTCTGCACATGAGGGATATTGAAAAAGTACAACATCTCTCACGCCCCTAGTATCGTCTTGAGCGGTACCCAGTTCTAAACATTTAATAGTGCTGGATGCAATGATCCCGAAGGACTAGAAAAATATGAGAACACTGAAGTGAAGTACGGGGCAATTTTTTTACGGCTGCCACACAGCACTGGAAACCTGCTGTTTTGAAGCTACCCTTCATTAATTTAAATAAAACGAGACGCAATTAAGACGTCTGAGTAAAGAGTTCATATGTAACAAGTAATTCATTTCCATATGGAATTGCATTACTCGATTGTTTCAAGGTGAAAATATAGCTGTTGTAGCATGCAAGGATTACTGAACCACTTTTAGAACTAACGGAAAGTTAAGTGTCTTTTGAATCATTATGTAATTGAAATATGTAATGAATGACATACAAATCATGCCATCAAATAATGAATGATGCAATGAAAGTGAAATTTGTTATTCCTTTTAGAAGTACACAATTTTTAACGAGCACTCTTGAATGCGTATATTATGCAATGTATTTTGATTTAACTAGGAGCATAAAAATATTATAATTGTAAAAATTTCCGCTTTATTCAATATTTCTACCTTATAATGTAAGCTTCCTATAGTAAATATGATAAGGAAGAAATAACGTTAACTTTATCAATTTCTAATTCAATTTTGTGAAATATAATAAACTTGAGACACATTATACTGACCAATGTGTAACGTTTGTCTGATACGTATATGTATCACAAAGGAAACAGAAGGGATTTGATGATAAAATCATTTGCACCTTATATGTTATAAATCAAAAATAGATCAAACATGGGGCACAAAAATTATCTTAAAATCGTATTTTTAAATAAATTTTGAGTTAATTCTAATTTGTCAAGATTCATAAGTTTGTTTTGTTTGTGCTGAAATTATAACATTATTTACTTGTACTTTGTATTTATTACATTGATTGACTTGTAATTAATATTACGCAAGATATATACAAATATTACAAATATGCAAGACAATTTAACGAATGTGAACAGAAAAATACTTTATTCTGTTATCCGTTTGACATGTCTGCACATATGTATATATAGTGAAATATACGCGTACCGGATAAATCTTTCAAATAATGATAGTGATTAATGTGTTAATGCCATCACATTAAAACAAAGTCAGACAGACAAAGAAGCAATCAAAGCTATATCTATTTGTCTATATGATCTGTTACAAGACGCCGGATAGATGGTATCTGAAATTGCTAATCTATATCTTTGACAGTTACAATTATCCTTACATTTTTTTTGAAAAGGTTGAGATTTTGTTATATCAGTTTATCATTCGGAGACTTGTTAAAATTATTTGTGTTTTAAGACAATTATATAAAAGATAGCTAAATATGTTTGAAACTTAAATACAAAATCAGGAAGTTGATCAAATCTGCATCATGGCGCCGTATATTTGATATTTTGTGTTAAAAAGTTTTCAATTGAAATTGTTCGTAATTTCTAAGGTATTCATTACGTCATACATAATTAATAGTCGTACCTTATGCCTCAAAATATTTGCAATATGTTTATATATAATAACATACATCTTTATATTATATATTATTTTGGTTTTGGAGTGATATATGTGGATATATTACCTGCTAAGATTTTATATCACCCGAGCCGTTAGGCGAGGGTGATATTTTATCTTGGCAGGTAATATATCCACATATATCACTCCAAAACCAAAATAATAATTTTATTACCCTTCCCCTGCCGAGTTAAGACGATTTTTTAAAAAAAAATCATTGTTGTTTCAAATGAAACGTCGAAATAAGATTCCCTTTAGGGTACCCCTTCATCACAACATGACGTCACATAAATACATGACGTATTTTTCCCGTACCTAACGAATGTAAACAAGAGAAAAGGAGTAGTCTATTGAACGCACTTTTTTGTAATTAATATCAAGCTTTCACAAGGTCATATTTGTTTTCAATACTGATGAGAATATGTATCATTACCTTACTTTGGTAAACATTTATCAATTGACAGTTAAAACGTGCTTGTAAATCGGAATTTACACCGCGTAAAATCGAACCGTACGCGCATCACCTCAGCGCATGTTGTTTACAACGTGGGGTACCCAACGGGGAAATTTAGTGTGTATATTACCCGTCTGGCTCGGTAATATCAATTTCTTTCAAAAAGGCGGAAAAGATATGGAAGGGTAATAAATATTAATCTGGAAAAAAACATTGGAGAAACTAATGATTACTTAATTGTATGTCATTTGCCGCCTTGAAACTTTGTTTCAGAAATAGGACGTTGATTGATATTTATATTTCAGTCTTTATCATAAGACTAAAACATTTAGATTCCACCAAAAGTGTTTTTATGCAACAGCGGTAACTTTAAATCATACGAATTTGTTTCATTATTAATCTATGCAGAATCTAGTCTCGGCCCGTTAAAGTATATTGAAAATGTTCTTTGTTTGTCGTTAATTGCTTGTATCTTACCATAAATGTTGTGTTGCTGTTGAGGGATGAGTTCATTGAATATACAAGATTTGACCTGACTTGTTAAGATTTGAATAATAGATAGTTTTCAACCTAAAATTGAATTTACAATAGAAAAGCCCCATTTTCAGAATAAACTTGATATAATTATATGTTCAATTGGCTAGTTTCATTTAGAGTGAAATAATGTTTCCAAAATATTGACTTAGAATCTATTAGTTAGATATTTGCATGTAGATTTTCAATCATTTACTTTGGAATATTAATACTGTGACACAGGTGTTTGTGATAAATTACAATTATTGATTTTTGATATGTTTAAGAATGATAAAATAATATAGTTTATTGTTTATTAAAAGGCATACGTGTTATAAAACATACTGCAACAGCATAAATTCGTAAGTAATTATACTTTGTTATTTGATTTCAAATGCCTCTCTTAATAAATTACGATAACAACCTATGTACTGGATTCGTCACTCTACAAGTAGTTAAAGGCGTCAATGTTTTACTTCAAGTTTATATAAAGTTTTTTTTGTTGTTTTATGAGTTTATTGTACTATTAGAAAACATGGAATTTCGTTTTACACAAAGATAAGCACAAATCATCAACATAATGTCAAAACATTTACAATCAAATTTAGTTTGTGTTTTAGTTATAAAATCTTCCTTGATAATATATACAATACTTTTTTATCCTTCAAAAGTTTAATTACATTTTATTTAAGGAATTGGCTGACTATTTTCGCTATAACATACTAATATCTTCTTTATTCATTACATTTTTCTCCGTAGTATTGTTACGCATACATATTTTTCCACAATCTAGTATGTAAGCATAATTTTAAATGTATAATATTTTGTAGGAGAAGGTACGCAAATTAATGTTTAACTTGCAAAAACATAATTTTGCCTTTTGATTGATTTTCCATACAATATAGTATTAAAAGATTGAAAATGATCCTTAAGTATTTCGAGATAATTCACTTTGCCTTATTCATAGTGACATGGAAATGGTAATACAACTCTACGAAGTGTGCACTATTGTTCATAGATATAGCCATAGCCTTTGTAAAAGGGCAGTGAAAGAAACTTGAACGCTTTTAATTAAAGTAAGAACTGTCAATGCCCAGTCACCATCGTTTGGGAATCATAGTAAATTCGATTAGTTGCTTTATTTAACTGAACAATGCTTAACATATATTAACAAAGTAATTATTCATAACTAATGCTGCGCATTCCTTTCTTCATATGATAACACATGAGCAGGAAGAGATTTTCCCAAGCGTGTTCGTGTTCCTTTGTCCACATATTTTCTAGGTGAGGTTTAATTGACGTTATAAACTGTGGTCCCATCAACTGAAATATTGATATTGTAGATTAAAGTACACATATTTCGAGAACATGAAATAAAAGATAAGCACACAAGTCAAAGAATAGAAAAGAAAAAAAAACTGAATGCCAACAGAACCCTGAAATGCAAAATTAAAATAAGGCCTGTTGATAAAGGTAGGGTAAGTGCGAGCCGCCATCCACGCCCTCTAGCAAACCCTGCGATAAGGATTTCACATAATTAGTTGATGCTTTATTTTTCTTCCGAACCTATAATGACAAGCAGGAAAACGTTTTCTCTTTGCAAGTAAATATTAATGTTTCAAATCAAATGCCTTTCTGAATTTTTATCTATAGTTTAAATGATAAAATCTTTGTAAGTTTATAATAAAAAAGATATAACCTCAATTTGGTCTGTCTTCATATTATAATTCTTGTGCCGTTTGCCAAGACCAAACATTAACTCTCGTAATTTATCCCGATTGTTTAATCTGTATATACATTTGTCAACGGTTCCCATTACTCTTAGCGCATGCGCACGGATAATATGCTGGTATTCTTGCTCTGAGCTGCTATTATTGCGGAAAGACATGAATACATCTTCAACTTCCGGGTGCGTCTCAAACAGACTGAAAAGAAATTCAGCATCAACAATGTTGCAGATTTATTCTTTATTTTATTGAGACTTCTTTAATCGAAATCTTATCAGTCGAAGAGGTAATAAAATATCACAATTCTCCTTCCATAATCAATTATAATAATTCAAAGTCATACTTGCATTGCTGACATTCCGATGTTTTCAACATTATCATTAGTGCAAATAACACTATGAATAATTCAGATAATGATACAAACTTTGTTTTATGGGCATAAGTTTTTCTTTGCCTATAATGTGTGTAGGTTGGTATTGAATTAAAATGTTAACAACAATACCAGTAATTGTAAATAAAAAAGTTTTAAAATGTTTCAAGAATATTTACATATACCAATACGCTGTTCCAATTAAAAGCCGCATCAATATTTACTATTTTTCTCATATAGAATATTTATTTGCTTATAAAATTTCCATAAAAAAGCTAATGATTATTGAAAAGAACGTTTCAAGTTTTTATCAGTCTCTTATTTTCCTATAAAATTAATTATTTACAGAACAACGTCTAAAAATGACAATCAATATCGAGTTGCAGTCCCCTATAGCGAATATATGCCAAAGCTATAAAACAGTAGTTTATAAAATGAAAAATGATACATCGAATTATTCATATCTTGATCTGGAAACTGATTGTTAAAATAAATTGGTCTATGGTAGATCAGTTAATAATTATGTTGATAGTATTGAGTATCATAGGTAACAACAAACTTGAAAGAACTATATACGGATGTTGTTTATGCAAGGGATAGATACTTGAAACTAATATGACATAAATATATGAAGCAGATAATGAATTGTTCTAGAACAGAAATTAATTATTCATCATATTTATATATTCATACAAAATCAATTAGTAATAAGAACTCTATCAACATTTTGTTTTCCAGACATATTTCCTTAGAATATATCTAAATAATGCATTTCCATTGATTATATCAATATTTCAAATGTTTAAAAATGAGTCCAGTGTAGACCAATCCACTTTTAACATTATTGGTCATCTATCGGGTATTTACTTTACTTTTGTCGCTTCTGTGTGAAAATTGATTATGAAGAAAAATATGTTCAATATTAAATTCCATTGTATTGTTGTGCTATCTATTTAATGTGTTTAAGAATTCATTGGCTCGGAACTTTCTATTTAAGCATGCTTATTTTATTACTAATATCAAATGTTTTATTTTCGTTACCTTGATTGACAGTAATAATAGAGTAGTCAAAATTTGTCATTGTCATGTTATACTCTAAGAAATACTCATTTTTTTATTGTATACATATTCCGTTAATTTTTGGAAAATTTTCTTCTGTAATAAGGCTTCTTGTTTAATATTTTGTTTTAATTTCATTTTATTTCATTTGCCACACTTATTCTTTACATGTATTCAAATAGAATTATTTAGTAAAACACATGTACCTTAAAAAATCTAAAACAGGGAAAAATGCACGTTTTACCATTAACCGAAAATATAGATTATACTGCATTTTAATTATAGGTTAAAAAGAATGATCTTCCAGCATTTTTTTACTTTTATTATGAGAAAATTGCAACGTGTATTTATCAATAAAAAATGATAAAAAATCTTTCACTTCACTTGTTTTGTTCATATGATAAATAATTGATAACGAAACACGGGTGTACAAAGTGTGTGTATGAATTACCAACAGATTTTGTTATATTTTTTATTTTAAACAGATAATAGATTTAAGCATGCTTATTTTAGTACTTATATCAAATGTTATACCAACAGTTGTTATTATATTTTTCAAACAGATAACTGTACAATAATCAAATAAGAACAAAGAAAGCATGTTATACTTCTTGTGTAAGACTATTATTTAGATTGAATTTCCATATGTCGCTCATTTATTATCTTGCCAATTCTAGCTTTCATCTATAACATAGAGAACACCATGTAAAGATATTAAACAATTAACTTTTCACTTACAAGAAAACAGAATCCGCCTAGACAAAATATGAATTGTTATCTTATTCACGATATTTGAAAATTGCTAAAGACGGGATCATTAAATAAGCATTAAAACCTCCGTTGTTACACAAGATAAACATATTATGAGCAAAAATGACTCTATAAATATCTTTAGAAATAAATCATGTAGTAACCAAAAATATGATTTCAGATCGCCCTATATTGAAACATGCATAATGTGAAGTACTTCTATTTATCTTTCAACAGAAACGTTTTGTGATTTCACCATGTTCATATACAGAACAGCATGACAGAAAAAAAACGTTTTAAACAATGTACTGGTAATTTTTATGGGGACAGTGATGAAATATCAAACTAAATGTACTCATTTAAACAGCAACAAAAAAGCAATGTAAAACAATATTATAACTTGAAAAAGTTAACCTACTGACATTGTTAACTTGGCGATTTATTTTTTAAGATTTTATTTAAACTTGTATTAAATAATTGTAATAAAAAGTAATGTATTTCATCTTGAGTAAAATCGACGATACAAATGTACATAATTGTTGACTGGATTAAGAGAATATCTATATCACAACTCCCGAAAACGATTTTTCAAGGCTTAAGATTTTGAAATTGACCCACAATTTACTATCATTATTATATAATTATTTTATGTCAGATTATATCGACAAATAAGCGATTCATTTTCCTCATCAGAATCACATACAAATAAAAGACACGTGATAATGCAATTTTAATAGTACTAAGATTAAAAGTGTACATAATTATTAAAAAACAAACTTACTCTACAAATAGCACTGTCCCAACTTTGGCAACATGCTTGTTTACAATCGTCCACATTTCTCTTAACATCGTAACTTCATCATCCGAAAGTTCCGGTTCCGATATGTTTTCGTTAAAATTCCCGTTTTCAGGTATATGTATGTCACTTATGTTATATTCCTTCTTGTGTTTATGTCCTCCGTGTGAACCTCCCATAACGTGGTTAAAGTTAACACATTATTTGTTGATAATTGATATAGAAAAGAATTTCTATCTTATGTTTTAAGCAGTATCTTTGAATAATATGTGCAAATAAAAGAGTTTGTCAATTAGAATGATTTATCATGTTCATATAGTTTTGAACAATCGATATCTGTAATTTAGTATTTATGATGTTTCAATTATCCATCTAAATTAAATTATCCATAGGTAAACTGTAAAAGAACGCGTATAAAGATATACCAGCGTAACAGCGAATGATTCACAGAAGTTTAAATGAAACACACGTTTTTGTTTACCCTTTTGAGATACTAATACATACTAAACACGGCTTTCTTATTTTGAAACTTATGTGTAAAGTGTACTCCACTCTTACATAAAGAAAATAAAACAGAAATTATCCGTAACAATTATTTTGAAATAATACGTACAGTCAACTGACCTAACAAAATAAAAGTAAGTCCTTATGATTTTTTTTAACTCGCGTAAAATTGAATTCATAACTTGTATATGAACAAACAATATCTATTGAACGAAAACCATTACGTAAATATTTAAGGAAGTTAATGTATTATCTATCTTTGTTGAAATTCTTTTGCCGCGACACATTGAAACCGGAACAAAATTTAAGGCGATTATTTACATGGTGATAGATAAAAATGTAAAGATGAAGAACATGGAAATAAGGTATCTTAACCAAGGGAATATGTATCACAAAATTGATGATGTATCACGTTTTTATTAAAGTATTTATTATAAACTACATATATACATCAGATGAATAAGATAAGGAAATTATGTAAACAGAAATAAGATTTTGCTTTTTAAAATGCATTACGATTCAGCTGTCAATTTCATCATTTTCATTTCATTTGGTTGTATGAAATATAAAATAGAATATTTATCAATATAATCAAATAAATGTAGTAAGCATCATATTCATAATATGTTTATATTTTTAGTATTTCTTTGTTGTTGTTGTTATTATTATTATTATTATTATTATTATGAAATTTTTATTTATCTATTTATTTAATAATTTCTTTTTCATAACTTAACTGATATCAAATAAGATGATGTCTCATGTTTTGTGTCATTAGCTTGGGCGTTAAATACCATTGATTTCGGGATATGAAGATTTTGCGGCGCAGGTGGTCGCCAACTGTGTTTATGATTGACATAGATAGCCTATCGTGGCTGTCATGAACAAAATATAAATAATAGGATAGTCGGCTATTTACGTCAATGTTTCCCCGGTGCGTCATTAATAAATTTCAATTTAGCTTTAACATAAATATAACAGTTATAATATTTAGGGATATGCTAGTCTTACGCATGGATAATTAACCCATTGTCACTATAGAGGTCAATTGTTTTGAATATGTGTAATAAAACATATTATTACCCCTCACTTTTTTCGTAATGCTAATTTCCCATAGGCCTCTGGGAGTTATTTTTACTCTTAATGCAAGTGTACCACGTGACTAAGAATTTTGTACTGTAATATAGGTAACAGTATTTTTTAACAGTAAAAAATCTGGTCATGTGGTCTATTTTCTAAATAAATTGAAATAAAATGGCCGCCATTTTTTTCTCGACTCATTTTTATTTTCGACGTTAAACCCCGATAGGACATCAATTTCTTCTCAGGAGTTACTATGACACTCATAAAATTTAGTTGTTCGCACCCTGGTGTGCTTTTCGCGTATAAAATATCTTTTTTGTTGAATAGTCAAAAAGTGAACATCCGTTTTCAACGGAAGTAAATGCAATGTAAATAATTATGTGTCAAACTGGAACATGCAGACAATTTAAACATGCAAAAAATGATTATTTAACAATTATAATCAGTGACACGTTACAGATATGGTGGACAGACATAGGATATCATCGTTATTTTTTTTTAAAAAACCATGCTAAGAATATTCTGGAAACAGAAGGATCAGATTACACAGATCATAACCGTATAAATGGGTTAGTGTTTTGTTTTCTGAATAAAACCTAGCTTATTGTATGTTTATGATTTGTAGATATCATCATATGCTTAAAGAATAAAGAAAAAGAAAACTTCTCAAGTAGGCCTAAAGTACACTTAAAACTTAAAAGGTAAGGACAGTTTAGTTATTGTTACTCTTGGTTTATTTTGTTACAGTTAGATTTAGTTGACAATTTCAGATCATCACAGTATTTTTGTTCGGGGTAATAAAATAAGTAACACATGGGTTTGTGAGTAACAGTAAAAATATCATCCCTCGTCAAAATACTGTTACCTTCGGCTACGCCTCGGGTAACAGTATTTTCCTCGGGATGATATTTTTACTGTTATCTACAAACCCATGTGTTATTTATATATTATTACCCAACACTTTTTGTATAATGTTAATTTCCCATAGGTCATTGGGATTTATTTATACTGTTAATGCAACTGTTCCATGTGAATTAAAAATTATAATGTTACAGGGTAACAGTATTTTTTAACAGTATCAAATCTAGTCACATGGTTTACATTCCCTAAAGGAAATATAAAAAATTATCATATGTATTGTTCGGGGTAATAAAATGAATAACACATGGGTTTGTAAGTAACAGTTAAAAGCTTCTCCCTGGCATAAATACTGTTACCCTCGTCTTACGCCTCGGGTAACAGTACTTCCTCTGGATGATATTTTACTGTTACCCACAAACCCATATGTTATTTATATACTGATAGTTTGGTTTCTGTTTGTACTTCTTTATAATTATATGCATGAATTTTTTTGTACTTTTACGAGACATATGAAATTTAGAATATCGTATCACAATAACGTTAGAACCGTTGAGCATGAGTAGCTGTATTGTTGATCATTGTTTTTTTCCGGCGTACCATTTTGATCGGATTTTGCCTGTGGCTGATTTCCGTAAACTTCCCTCTTTTTTTGTTTATCTTTTTATTCAATTTTGTTTTTGTTTTTTAAAATATAAACCACTTAATTTAAAAAAAAATACTAGTTTAAAAAAACAAGAACATATTTTAAAGTTAATTTAAGTATTATTTACTATAATGTACCGTTTAGATTTTTTCTTGATTTCACATGGAATCACAATGTCACGATTTGTAGCAAAAGTTAATGTCCATTTCAATGAAATACTTGACATATCCGACCTGGAAATGCTTTATTAAAGATAATGCTTCTTAATGCTTTTAATGCCTCTATAATTACTCAGACAGCAAATTCCTCCCCGCGTAGTAAATAGCTCATTGAAAGGCATTCAATGCTTGTCTTTAGGCAATGAATGGACGCCAGACATGTAATGAAATAACTATCACATTTGATATCAGGCTATTTGTAAGGTAATTTTAATTAGCTGACTAGGCGTAATATATACTTAATATATAAGCTCACGATGCAGAAGTACTGTTAAAAGGAAAAGATGATTGAGGTGAAAATGTAGAAAAACAAGTTTAACTAAGTAACGTATTCTTTTTTTATAAAATCGTGCGCAAGCAGGCTTTATATAACGAAGATTAATGGATCAAAATCAGGCACGCGCCGTTGTTGCACATTTCAATATGCGTGACCTGAAGGCCCAGGTAGTTTCATTATCAAAATATACACATGTAAAGAAGCATGACCTAACTTTTCTTAAATAATAAAACATGAAATTAGCGACTCAGACAAAAAGTTAGTTTTTTGCGCGAAGAGCGTAAATTCATACTTTCTATGGTCATAAGCATATGAAGAGGCCCTCTGTCTTGAATTAAATCATTTGTCCTGCAGTTTTGACCTTTAGATGCATTATCTTGCTTCTGCATTTAAATGAACTAAAATAATAGTAATAAATATACACTCTATTGTTTAACATGTACATAATTGAACAAATAAAACTATCTACCATAGTTGTAATCCCGCCGTAAATTAGAAAGGTATTTGTATAACCCGTTATACAAAAATAAAAACTGATTCTTTGCATGGCATTGTGTCTATCTTCAGTTAATTCAAAGCATTATACAGCCGACATTAAATCTCTTTAACTATAAGTTTTTTTATAATATTTCTTATAATAAGATATAACTAGCAATTCTTTAGTACTGTAGTAGAATATATAGATATTTCAACGTAATATTTTCACATAGAATCACAATTAAAACGACTGTGTAAACGATTAAAAATAAACATAAATAAATGAATAAATAAATAAATATAAAAACTGGCATACATAGAAATCATATTAGTTGTAAAAATTGTGTTTGTGTAACGACCACAAGAAACTCTTTCAGCATTTATCATTTTTTCCACCAAGGGTTTTGTATACATTCAGCCGAGACGTGGGAATTATTGATTAGTTAGCATTATGTACATACATCAAAGAAGTAAGAGTTGAATAATTGATACCTTAAACAAAAGAGTGCGTGTCTCCATACGTTAACCTGACGTCATTACATGTTGTTGTACTTGAACAAACAAAAGTAAGACTATTATTCGGTACAATCTGTAGCTCACGTGCGTGACACAAACTCGATGAACATGTAGAAAAAATGGTTAAGGAAATAACTCTGACGTATACAAACACCAAACTAAATACAAAATTGATTTGTTTTGTCAATTTTAAAGATAATTGTAAAACTGATGGTATATAAATATTCTACTTATCGTCCGATAATCTAGTATATAGTGCAAGACAGGTTTTAAAATTATCAAAATTTCTGACTTTATTTATTTATTTGTTTATTTATTTATTTATCTATTTATTTATTTATGTATTCATTTATCTATTTATTTATTTATTTACTTATTTATTCAATTGTTTGATGATGAAAAAAAACATTTGATGTCTTATTTGCTGCAAACAGTGGTTTTCAGACTATTTCTAATTTAGTGTTCGATAATCTAGTATAAAGTATAAGACAGATTTTAAACTTATTAAAAATTCTGATTTATTTTATTTATTTATTTAATTATTTATTCATTTATCTTTTTATCTATTTATTTAATATTTTGAAGATTATATTTCAGATGAAGAACATTTGATGTCTGATTTACTGCAAACAGTGATGTTTTCATTCTATGCAGTCACTGATCATTTATTATTTATCACTTTCTTTTGATCTTATTCTATTATTTGATAAATATATCAACCTCAGTGAGGAGAGTATCTGTTTCGAGTTCTATTCAGATACTATTATAAGAGGATATTCCATTTCAAACAAAGCAAACCGATTGTTTTTTTTATCTAAGCTTAAAGTCAATACTCCTTTCCGTGTAAATTGACACCAATATATTACCATGTGCGTTTTACTTTACAATGAACAAATGTATTGTGTTAATTGTTAACCATTATGGTGGTTGTATACATGATTTGGTGCGTAATGTATAATTAACAAAAACAACACATGTATCGGAGAATTTACTTTTAAGTAT